ATCAGTTCGATAATCTTAAGCTGTTGAAACTTGTCGGAGTTGATGAACAAGACTGTCTTCCTATGGGGTGCGTAATGCTGACGGATAGCGAAGCACCAATCAGGCCTGCACGATGGCGTAGTCAGAGTCAATTTGCGTACCCCAGAAGGAACGAAAATCCTTAACAGAGGCTCTCCATCAGCAACTGATAGCCACGTGGTCCAATCGAGTCCATGATTTTCTTGTGGTGGGTGGCCTCCAAGTAACTCACTCTGAGCGTTTGTGTTCATTATCATCATCGACAGCATGACATCAGTGTTCAACAACGATGCTTCGCTGCCGTGGTACCATGATTTAATTAAAAGCCTCATTGTGAAGAACAGAATAAAGGTGAACAGCGAAGGGACTTAGTGCTGGCTTACTACAATCATTCCGAGGTGCCTACACCTCTAAACACTCATTCCGGCAATCTGGATAGAGAATGACAACAACATTGCCACTGACATCGGCTAGAAGTCATATCGTGCAGCGTCTTCAACCAGGCGCAGGGAGGACCACGCGGTCCCCAGCCTGAAATGCGAGTAGCACCGACAGCACCCAAACGTTTCGTGATTTCTTTCATACCCCCCTGCCAGGTCAAGGGTTGGCCACCCCTCTGCTTTCGCCACTGTGAGTTGGAAAGCACTCGCTTTGGCAAACGATGGTTCGCAACACGCAACACATGTCCCAACCAACGCAGCTTCTGGTGCTGGACACATTCTTCAGTGGAAGTACCCACTGCCCAACCGAAAACTCGCTTTCTAGCTGCCTCATTACGAATATGCCGACACCAACCCACACGAGCTATGGTTCTGGGACAATGATTGTCGAACACCTGAAGACGTCCCAGTTCCGCTGCCGCAACAGGCCAAGTCTCACAGCCATACAACAAAACAGCCCGCACTGTAGCTTGATACACACGTCCCTTGAGATTCAGGGATCCACCGCTCTGACACCATAGGTGTCTCAAATAAGCAAACGCGACCCGAGCTCTGCAGACTCGTGCATTCTCCTCATCCGTCAGTCGGAACTAATACAACTTCCAAGATACGTGAAACGCTTCACAACTTCAAGTGCTTCCCCCTGGATTGTAAGTGGCGTGTTCAGTGACTGCACGTCCACGAGCATGACCTTACACTTTGTAGGTGCAAAAAGCATACCAAAGGACGGGATGACTTTGATCAGTTCATCCAAAAACACATGCGCCTTCTCCTCCTCTTCGAACGTGAGAACTATGTCATCTGCATATGCCAGATCCCCCTGTCTATGCTTGGGCAACCTGGCAGTATCCCAGCCCTCGTACTTCCTTCGAGTGGCATGGCAGCTAGGCACCGAAAGGGTGCTACAGCTGAACGTTAAAAAAAATCGACCAGGTTTTCGTCACAGGCCATTTTAACACCGGGATTTTGGAGACCTTCCAGCGTTCGTTTTATGATTCCACCTATCACAAAGTGAAACAGGAATGTGGAGTGGTCATCCCCGACGGACACCAATTTGTGTACGGAAGCTATTGGAGACCTCGCTGTATTCTCTCACACATCCGGAAGTCCGGGAATACAAAGAGCTTATTATGTTCACGAGCTCGGTGGCGCTTAGGAGAACATACGCAACCATAAACCTTCGAGATCGTAGGCGGTTCCACGTTCACCGTTCAGGGTTCTACGTCACCTGTGGAATACAGATGGGTGTAAGCTGGTGACCATGACGATTGTTGTTCGAAGTATTCGGCCGAACATCATCATCATCATCGTCGACAGCATGACATCAATGTTCAACACCGATGCTTCACTGCCAAACGGTTGAGGCGTTCTTGTTTATTCGAGATAGTCACTCCCTTCCGATCATTGAAAGTTTCACTCACAGGTGGTTTCCTGGGCCCCGTCGCACGGATCAACTGAAACAATCTTCGGGTATTACCGGCTTTCTGGGCCTCTTCCATATCCTCGGCTTTACGTGTCCACCACAATTCACGGTCGGCTAGCACGCTCACCTTCACTTGACGTCTGATAATTCATCGCATCAAGTTGTGTTCCGTGCCGGCTGGGATATTTCTCCAAAACTTAAGCAGTGCCACCCCTCGGTCTGATATCCAGTGCTTCGGTGCGCCTGGTTGGGTCGTGCCACAGGCAAAATTCTCAGCACTATGCAAAGAGGTGGCAATCTCGTCCCAGTATGAGTTCACATCGGATGGTGGAACACATGGAAGACTCCAAAAAATGATTCTGGTAAGTTCGTCAAACATCCGTATCTGCCAGACTTTCAGTTGTCAAGTGATTTGTCTGCACCGGAAAACGTAGGGAGAAGCGACTCCGGACGAGCGCACGGTCGGAATTCACAAATGTGTTCCAAAATGACCGGCAGTCAGTTATTGATCCACGCCATCGGTAACTGACGGCAATGTGGTCGATTTGAGTTTGTAGCCGGCCTGCCGTTGGAGGGCACCATGTGGCCAGAAGAGTTCGACTATTTCGGAAGTTAGTACTGTATCAGAACAACCTGCGATCAGCACACAGCTGAAGCAATCGTTCACCCGTCCTTCTTAGTCTCAGAAATGCAATCTGTTGTGGCATACACAGATACGTGTGGGTGCACACCCACCTACCTGGGAAGATAAGTAATAAGTAACACCTTTATGGTGTATAGCTGCTATGTACCCGAGGGATCCAGAGCATTCAGATAATGTCAGGTTGCCCAAGCCTAGACAGAAGCAACCAAGATGAAGACGTTAGCTTCGAACCACAGACCCTCCGGTCAGTAAGTTCATATTTTATCCAGTGAGCCATTGTAAGCTCCTACCTAGGCAACTTCGACTGAAGGTGGAGGATCACGTACTATTGATAGTATGAACTAGATCAATCATATGGACCGAGGAAAACGCTGGCATAGATGAGTTTTTGTCCTCTGCGTTTAGCAACCAAATTACAAAGTCCATAGAACATAACACTATCCATCAAGCAGGATATTGTGCAAAATTGCGCTGTCGTTTTCCATTCTCATTGGTTAGAGTGAACGTGCCAAGGCTTCTATTCTGGAATCGATATATGTGAGTGGTGAGCTGGGCGTAGCAACAATATGGGGATTTTTAAACAATGCGCATCAGAACAATAAACACTACGTACCCATCGACTAGTTTCGATTGGGTGAGAGGTGAGTTTTAGGCTCAGCTAGATGGTTTGTTAAAGAGAGCACTAGCAGCTATCGATAATGATGCACCGGAAACTAGCGGTGTTGTACTGCGTGCAAACGTTAATGCACGGTTTGGCCCCAGATAAAATGCACTGCGGAGTCGACAGGGCCTCGCTGTAACCCGAAATGATGTGAACACCCGACTGCCGACTTCTCACTGACCAATTTCTTTTTCCTAACTACTTCGAGTTTCTAGCACCATAAACACCATACAGCAACTGGCCAGTCATCTTTGGCTCGTCGGAGATGAACATGGATTGACGCAGCCCTCAGAAGATTTTGTCCAGAATCGTCGTCCATACTGGGACACTTGTTTGGTCTCGATTACGCACCGGCGAAGGCCAAACTGCATATGCATCCGTGAAGAATGGGCACATGTAATTATAGGAATCGACGTCAGCAGGCGAACGTATTCCACCACCATGAAACCCTTCCATCGCGAAATGAGTAACGGTCTTTCAGCGAAAATGTCTGCGTCCATTGGTGAGCACGGGTTATCAATTAAACATGTCGACCGTCTTGTACTCATACAATGAACAATCTATAACTTCCGGAAAACGGTTCATGTCAATCATACTCGCGGTGTGACATTTTAGGCTGTAATACGCCAACTGTTTAAGTCTTAAGGAAGATCGCGAGGCACGGTGTAGCGAACAGGACGAAAAGGTGGAGCTACCATGGGAAACTAGTAACAGTCAACGGCTGGGAAAGGAACCGTAATCAGCGAATGGATTGATGTGTAGCGCGCTTTAAGCTGCCGTTCAACTGGTCACCTATGGTGTAGTCAATCGTTCAGGCTCTTGAGGCAACCCCTTGATCTTTCTAAACTTTTCCACCCAGTGACAAAACCCGGAGGGCAACGTTTTCATTTTAAAAAAACCCAATGGCTATGACTCTAGCTTTCCAGGCCAGGACGTGATACTATGTTTGCCCAAACGACCGGTATGTGCGAACGGCGATTCCAGAATGTGTTCTAACCTATTGGTTAAAATCACTCACTGTCCCGATTGCAGAACGAACATTCGAACCACTGCGGCATCAGTGTACCATTCCCATAGTGTCAAGGTACTACTCCTGCTCGTAAAAACGGCCGAAACCATATACCTGGAAGAGCGAGTTACTTCAGTCAATTCCATTAGAACGGTAAGATGTAGGTAGCACTTTGTTGGCATTTTGTTTACCTCCATCAGCCGTGGACGGAAGACCAGGAAACATTATTACCAGAGAAAACGACACCATCAATGACCAAACTAGTGGGCAGGACTAAACTCTGAGACCAGTTGAGAAATGGGGATGTCCGAAACTCCGCTAATGAGTTGGTATTTACGTACGGTAGGACAGCTAAAAATTTCAGTATGGGTCACGAAAAGACCTGGTGCTCTTGAGGAATACCGGAGAACGGCTCAATAGTTCAAAGCAAGATAGCAAGTTAAAGAGGACTCCAAGAATACTGATAGCTACAACTAGTAAGGTGTGGTGCTATGCTAAAGCGTTGAGGAAGTGACAACTCGACAATGAACAAATGCGTGCTGTCAGCATTCACTGTGATGCCTTCATGCCCGGGCCGATTGAGGGCTGGTGACCGGCCAGCGCACTTGCCGAAAGATCTTATGCCGGCGAGTCTACAGAGGCCTAGAAGACTAGCACGTACCATCACAATGTGCACCGCTAAAACGGTTGGTGAACCGCCATCTGTGCACAGCAGGCGTCCAGAGGCTGCATCACCCTTGTAAGGAAAATCCATAATCCCATATATAAATTCGGGACTGTGGACCAAATGTGATCGGATTACTCACCAAAGTAGCGCAAGTACTCGGTTGACCAAAGATGGATCTGCGAGCAGAGCATCGGCGACTTTTGAAACAGTTTCTTCAGAACCTTTCTCTGTCTTCCGTCTTAATAAGAGCAAAATAAGATTCAGAGCGTCGATGCGTGTGCCCTCTATCCAAATCAGATTGATGAGCAAACGAAGGAAAGCGGGGGTGCGTGATCCACACTGGTTTTCAATAGAACCAGGTGGGTTCCATTGAAAAAGTGCGTCCAGTTTACACGAATCAAGGTATCCTGAGAGCATCGCCAAGGCATCACGACACAACGAGATCGACTGCCGCGCGCCGGACGTCTAGAAAGAAAATGATTGACAAATTGTACTCACCTGTGCTTCAATTTCGGCCAACTGGCTCAAAATTGTTTCCAATGCGAAAGAAAATAAATGCAAGAGGTTATCGTGAAGTGTGGAAATGATGTCTCTCCGTCTAGGTTGAGGTATATCTTGAAATTGCACCGCGTCCTCGTACAGACGTAAGAATGTGTTTAGTGTTAGCTTGGCTTGGGATGGCTAAAAAAATAACACAGACCTCGGTAACCTACCCCTCTGCGTCCTAGATCGAAGAACTCATCCATCATGTTCGGCCATTGCTGAGGCCATTCGCACTTAATGAGGTAGACGAAGATATGCGACAGAGCCAATAAAATGACCTTTCTTTCAGCTTCTGATTTTATCACACTTGGTATCTATCCACAATCAAATAAAAAACATAACCTACATTAGCTGACAGCTCGAATAAGCTCTCTTTGATTGTACTCTTAAGTTCGACGCTTATTTGTTGCCAAGAGTGTCTAGTAGGTAAAGAATTAAAGACGAGCAACAAACTTTATTTTGTGTTCAAGACATTGCAATCCAAAAAGGATAACAGACGGATGTTGGTTCACGCCGCATAAGATGGAGAGGTCTCCCAGCTGGAATGCGTTCGTTTTGTATTCTTCGACGACCTATGGAAGCAGTTTTCGCAATATAACAATGGGGCCTGACCTTGTAGCATTTTGCTCGGTCAGTATTGTTAACATCAGGATCCAGCGTGGTCAAAACTGCCTTGACAATGGCATTCGAGTCCATTTCGAAGCCACGCGCGCGGTGCGACCTAGAAAGTGTAAAAGGCGCCAAGGCCATCCAGACGATAGTTCACGGATTCACGGATAATACACAGGATCGAGGCTTTTGCCCAAGTCTCACGGGTCGGTTTTGTTCTTGTCGGTCAGTGGCTGTCGTTCACCTGAAAGGCACAAGTGAAAAAAGGGTGTAGCACTGCTCAGCGCGGGGCAGTATACTCGCCAGCGCGAGGATTCGCATAAATAAATGTCTAATAGTGCTTTAAATTGGGTTCGAGATGGAGCGTGTACAACCGTCGGAGGAAGGTCATTCCACGTAGCTACTACCCGAAATGAAAAAAAAGTTTTGTCTAATGAATGTGTGTGCCCTGAGCTTGAAGATTTTCTTACCATGTCCTCGCTGGGTGTTTGCAGGGTCAAGGGTAAAAAACCTGTGTTGCCAAGCTTTGTTCAAACAGGGCGCAAGTAAGAATTAGGTCCCCTCGGAGGCGAAGGTACTCCAGGGGAAAGAGATCAAGCATCACGAGACGCGTTTCGTAGTCCACGGATTTGA